ACGATGGTTTGAAGGACTTGTTTAAGAAACATGGAATGGATTCGGGATGAACCTAAGCTAATTGCCTTGATTACTTATCAAATCAAATTCACATTCTTAAATCACTTTCTCTCCCGTACTGATCCTCCTTGCCTTTCCTTCCTTGTCCAGTAAGGTATGAAGCACTAGCTCAACCACAGGCGTGCTCCCCTGTCCTTCCACCCTTCTCGGCAGGAGGGATCATAGCAGGGTTGAATTCCAATCAATTTGAGTTACGAAACAAGGGAGCTGCTTCATTTTAATACAAAAAAATATTAAAGTAAAATGATTCAATCTTTTTTTTGTATTTTAATAAAAGTCCTTCTTTAGGTAATAACTAGGTAACGAAGTTATTTCATTAACTTTTTGACTTTAACCAACAAAACCTATTCTTATTTTTTGATTGTTTCAATGAGAAAATTTTTGAAAAATTAAGAATTCTAGTATTTTTTTTATTCCTTCAGAAATAGATAAGAATTAGTTTGGTGAATCGGAAACTTTTTTCAATTTTATAGAAAAATTGAAGTAAAATTTTCAAGTAAAAATTGCAATTTCTTTTCTTATGGAACATACATATCAATATGCATGGGTAATCCCTCTTCTCCCACTTCCAGTTATTATGTCAATGGGGTTTGGACTTTTTCTTGTTCCAACAGCAACAAAAAATCTTCGTCGCATATGGGCTTTTCCTAGTGTTTTACTTTTAAGTATAGCTATGGTATTCTCAGTCGCTCATACAGCTTCCAGCCAGCAAGCAGTTAGCTTTCCTCTAAAAGTCATGGAAGTGTGGATAAATCGACATCAAACTCTAGTCGATAGAAGGTTTTTTTTTGGTCTACCAAACCAAATTCTTTTCTTATTAAAGCCTTCTCGAAAGAAAAGGCCCCTATGAATACTAGTCCACTTGTAATACGTAATTCTTGGCTTGGGTCCCTACTTCTCAAGAAAAGAAAAGTATCAGATCAGGAATATCGTATTTATCTCTTCTAATCTAGATCCCACTTCCCTCCACTTCTTGCCTCACGCCCGTCAAACCTGACTCCACATTAACGACTGTCCTTCCACCCAATTCCCCGCATCCTTGCATCACATCTCCAACCCCTGCCTCCACGCGATCTTCCACAATCGTACCCCCCACCTCTGAAGCTTGCATAACCCCCGACGAACCTGTCTGCACCTGCGGGCCCGCGCTTACATCATTGGCATCGCATGATTAAACATCAGCACGAGCGAATACGCTAGAGATATTAAATAGTTAACCTAGCGCTATTAGTTGATAAGACGAGTGAAGCGGTACTCGCCCAGGGATTTAGAGGGTCTTTATTTAGCGAAACCTCCACCAGGCGGAAAAGAACCCATCCGCACAACGCCGCCACAGTTCCCACACCCACCCGCAGTCTCGCGCGAAGCACTTTCATCGCTTCGCTAACTGCTCGTTCAAAGGAAAGATCGGAGGGCGATCAACCCTTTTTTTCTTTCATATTCGATTGGGTCCCGATAATATTTGATATTCATTCCCTTGCGCCTGCGCATACGTTTTCTTGCTTTTCCAGCATTTATTCGTTTACTTTTTCGTATCACTAATTCAGGAAAGTCCCTCTGTGGAGTAGCGAAATACATAAATTATCTATCTCAAGTACGTCTCCAACTTATCTTGAGCCATCAGTCAGATTAAAAGCAGCGCCCTGCCGGCAGCTCCTGACCTCTATTCCTATGGGAGAAAGAAGGTGTGGCTTTGGACCCCAAACTCTTCCATGACGGCCTTCTTCCACTCATTTTATTAGCAATCAAACCTCTTCCCTGCTCTTGCACTGAGGTAAGCATTCAAATAGCAAAGCAAGGGAAAAAATATGGTATGTATTTTTTTAATCTACATACAGAGAAAGCGGATGTGCCCTTATTAGCGCAGTTGAAAATAAAATATATAACGCGTAGTTGCAAGCTTTCTTTCGTGAGCTAGCTATGTTTGCTTCCTCTTTTCCTCTCTGTTGTCGGTCACGAAAACCTTAATAAGAAGTGAGGAGCTGATTGAAACATAAAAAGTGACTGATCGTAATCTTAGGGCAAAGAGCAGTACTCTTATATCAGTATCATCTTCCCTTTCTTTTTTTTATTTAACTGTCGCCTTCCTTTCCTATCAAACTTTTCTCTGGCCCATCATCTCGTGACAAGAACTGCTCGAATCACAAAAAAAAAGGCATTACCTTCTAGTTGAGCAGTAAAATAGAAATAAGAGCTGCTAAAACAATATCCTTTTTCTTAAAGTTCCTACGATGCTAGTTTTTAAAAGGCATATACACTCAGATAATGCAGCAAGAGTTCCCCACTACCAAGTAAGCTCTTTCTACTTGTTCACCTGGATGAAAACTACCTGGCTTTGTTTGGCTACTTTTTTTATTGGCTAGTGTGATTTTATATCTCAGGCTAAACTCGCTTGAGCTGTCTTACATTAGTGGGGCTATATGTGAATCGCAGAGGTCTGTAAATTAAGGCAATAGGCGGGCACATTTGAAATGCAGCAGTAGTGAGCTCCTATAGAAAATCCAAAATTCAATAAAAGGTCATAATGGTCGGAAGCTGTTCACTACTTCAGAACCATCCAGAAGGCAAGAGAAAAAAGCACCTGAGCCGCTCTTCATTTTATAGGATCTCCCATTCGTAAAAAATGCCGTTCCTTCCTTTTAAAGACCAATGGGGGGTTTGGTAGGGAACTACCTCGGGATGAAAGATGCCTAGATCACGAGGCTTATTCCTATTCCTTTTGCGAGTGCAATACTAATTGAATCCACTCCCCATGTGTGTGCTTCTGCACCTATCCGGGAAAGAAGAGTGGTGAGATATGGAATGGAAAAGGTTGGAAAAAGGGGAACTAAGAAAAGTGAAAGGCCAGGCTTGTAGCTAAGAAATATACTTAATAACACGACCCCCTTACTAAGTTTGCCTTACTCGAAAGAAGCACGAGCGTCACCCTAGCCAGCATTCTTTGGATTTAGTAGAATAAAAGCCATCTTACTCTTAGTATAGCTCAATTCAATGCTCTAATAAGCTTGCGAGAAAGCCTAAGTGAAGTTCAGTCTCTTTTCCGTTTTTAAGCAAGTGACCATAGGGCAATGGAAAGATCTGATACGGCGTTATAGGCCTTGTAGATTGCAACTCCTTCTAAGATAAAAAAACGTAACCACGAGGTAGATTACGAATAATCCAAGCATATAAATCTTAGGGCAGTAAGCTAAGGATAGACGAAATCCAGTAAGACATTGATTTTGCAAACCATTAGTTTATATTTAATTTTCTCGATCCCCTTCTGACGGACTAAGAATACGAGAAAGTTACCAGCCAAGACACCAAAGGCGCATTTAGATTTTCTGCTATGTTTGCAAAATGAGTACTCGTGTAGATATTCCCGAATCTTCCATAAAGATAAGTTTGATTCATTAGTTAATTCTTTTTTTCCAGGAAATTATGAAATGAAAAAGATGGACATCGCATCGTGGATTTAACGTTTCAATTTGGGCAAGAGGGCCCTGGTTATGTCGCAAAAGACGACATTCTAAGTTTTCCTCCTCCTCTCCGGTCTGCATGCAAGTACCTCAGCGGATATTTTCCATTATTTGGTCACTAATGAGCTACCTGCAGGTTTGTCAAAGGCTAAAAGGGAAAAGGCGCGCAGCGGTGAAGCCCATTACTCTGTATGGGATGATCCTTACCTTTGGCACAAGAAACTCTTATTTGGCATTCTGACTTTTTGATACTTGCAAGAAGAGCTTCAGTCTTCGAAACCGCTGCGCGAAACTCATTATCCGGAATGGCCCCACGGTGTTGATGTCTAGTGCTAGACGACACGTTTTAAATCTTAATGCAGGCATGGCATATTTCGTTGAATCAGTCTTTTTCGCCACATCGCGTATAAAGGGAATCGAACCCAACTCTTCCACTCGCTGCCAATGCGGATGCATTATAACATGTCAAGGGAGGCGCCGAGATATGATATGACCAAAAGCCTTGTTGTTGCGAGCCGGGCTCGAACTGAAAAAAAAGCTGCCAACAGTTGATTGGTATACATATTCCATTGAGCCAAAAGTCTCGAGTTAATAGAGTTTTTATCGGACTAAGCTTTTAGGTTGAACTATTTGATGCATCTGATGCATCGTCTCAGTAGAATTCTTTACCTTTACCCGTAATTGAAGTGATCGGTGCATTTAACTCAATATAATTCTTCATTGTCCTCGAAATATTATCCAGAGGCGATATGTTATTCACCCTTAAAATATTCTCGACGACCGTAAAATATCTCTTAAATCTGTGAATGCATCCTCTTTTCATTTCTGCTCTGCCACCGGTGCGCCTTTTTCTGCACACACGCGGTAATCAAAGATGGCGCCGAAATGCTCTCCCCATCAGCTTCTCTCCCGAATCAAATTTCGCGGGAAAAAAGCGGGCACGACCAGACCAATCCAAGGCAGAAAGCGAGAAAAAACAAAAAAGAGATGACACTGACACTCGTGCTTGCATCGATCGAGCTATAGCTTAGTACAGAAAAGCATCGCCACTAGTTTCGTTTCAGGATGGTGACTGCCACTATGCCATCAAGAACAAGAACATTAACCTGCTAACCTCACTAGCTCACAGCCTTATCACTTGTCAGTTCATTGATGGAAAAGAATTTTTAAAAAAGTTGTAGTAGTATGTTCACCAACAGACAGATTGGTAGTAGTAGTACATTTTTCATAGCAAACTTTCTCTCTGATGTAGATTTCTACTCCATCCCATTTTAAGTGCAGTTGTGGGTGTCTGTCCTCAATGTTTGATCGTCCGTCTTATTTAACTTTTTTTTTAAAAAAATAAGTCACATATAAAATATTATTTATGTTTTATCATCTAATAACAATAAAAATACTAATTATAAAAAAATTAAATAAGACGGATGAACTACACTTAAAATGGGACAGAGAGAGTAATACTCATGACCAAGCACGCACGCCTGTCAAGAAAGGAGAATGTCACTTGTCAGAAAACATCAGGATTTCTCAGTGGATTTACATTGGAGTTGCATTTTATTCAGGCATGAGGGGGGAAAAATGGCAGTTAAATTAGTTACAGGTTGATAGGAAATGGAGAGATTATTACAGGCCAAAGAGATCTTATTAATCTGGCCTGTTTTACAGTTTATTTTTTTTCTTTGATGACAAATTTATGGGTGGCTGATGAAACTTTTTGTCAGTTGCGGATTGATGCTAGCATCTTACTTCACTTCTTTCACCTTTACAAGACCACCACTTTGCTTGCAAGAAACCATGGGTGATCCTTCTTTCTTTTCTCTTTTTTCTTTCACCAATCAGATCAAAACCTGGATCAAAGTTATCTAACTCTTCAGGAAATGAGGTCATTTTCATAGTCGGCAGATTTGCAGTATCTCTAACGAATTCGCATCAGATTGGATGCACATCTTATGCTGAATCCCTTTACTCTCTTGTGTCCTAACCAGGTTTTGATAGGTTAACATTCATCTTCAGTAGAAGGTTTCACGTTCTTACGACGAGGGAAAAGCATTCGCCTTATCTTCTTCTCTGCTGAACGTTCAGAGAGTGCCTGAAACCAAAGGTTCCAAATGATTTGTTATAGGCTCCATGAAAATTAAATAGGTGACAGGACATGCGAAAAATTGAGTCTAAGAGTAAGAGCTAACCTGCGCATTAAACGAAAATCTAACTGTCCGAGCTTCCAAACCAGAGAAAGCTCTTACATCGATACCGAGACTGTCGATGCTAATCAAGCTAGCCTCCTGTAAAACATACCATACTGCAAAATTTAGCTTACTCTATGGAAGTAATAATCCAAATGCCAACTGAAAACATAAGGAACAAGGAACATGGATTAAGGCATTGATGAACAGGAACATACCTCGACAGTGAGGCCTTTTTTCCTATGACAGAGGGACCTGAGTGCCATAGCGCACTGATCATCGTTTTCTTTAATGCGATTTATAATTTCTGAAGCAGAATTTGCAAGAATATCTGGTTCTGCATCTTGAAAATCTTGTGGATCAATCATCAACTGCAGATATTAACAGAATGAAAGTAATGTCGTAGAACAACCAACCAAGCCAAGAAAGTTGAGAAAATTATCTCCTGTTTATCATTTAGACATGGATTCAACTTTCCGTTATGCGAGTCATGTATGCATTCTGAACCAGTATAGATCCAATACATTGGACAGAAGAGGGAAGTCCTTACCTGCTTCCCATATATGGAAAACAGCTCAACCGTCATTATTTCCAGTTTGTAGATTGTTGAATCAGTGCTACTTCCCACATTCGTGAAATCAAATCTCGATTTATCATCATCTAAATATTGAATTAACATTAGCAACAAAATTTAAACAAAAGTGTGCACTGAATGAATTGATCACAACTGATCAACTTACCAATTAGGCCATTGGTTCCAGAAGCTGGTGCAGGTTCTCTTTTGCATTCATCTATTTGATTTCTTGTGTATTAGAACAAATAAACCAGAATCAAAGAGTAGTATTAACAGAAGTAACCAAGATAAAGCAAAGAATTACCTCTCCAATCAGACGAATAACCATCACCATTGCACTCACCATGAAATAAGCTCCTTAGATAAGATTCTTCTTCTATGAAAGCAGGTCTCAAATATCCTACAATTGAGACACCATTTGATGGACTATCCATCTTTTCCCTGTGTTTATCATGAACAGCCTGCATAGCAAAAGAATACACAGTATATTTATCATGGACTAGGTGGTTGATATGTAATATGGTGCTCGTTATAATTTAGGTTACGAACTATGCTTCCCAAAGCATCTACCTTTTCATGAACTGTTATAGGAAAATTTGGAGCAAAACAGTAAGTTCAAGTTGCTGGTTCAAAAGTTCATCCTGTTCTTTTGTTTACCATTTTACTCATTTTTTTAATGATATCTTTCATATACAACCAGTACTAACTGATTGAATACATATCCCAGAACAAGAGACAAAAATGCCTTTTGTCTTCCTTTTATCTGACCACTAAGTTCAGATCTCTATTTTTTTTTCTGTTACAGTTGACAGAGTGTATCTTGAAATAGGTAAGGCCATACCTTGAATTTCTACCTTCTTTTTCCCTTTTTGAAGTATCAAGTTGAGGTCCAGGCTCTTACTTTTGTTACCAGAAGATAAAGACTTTGCACCCTTCACAACATTATTTCTAAGAATATGATGTAGGTTGGAATTAACTAATCACTCACAGTATATTCATTGTTCACATTGCCAATACATTTATGAAAGTTATCCTAGTTAAAGTTTTCATCTGCTCCACTATTTCAATGGTTGCTGATGCTTGCAATAACTTTTGACGGTTTACCTTTGTCAAACACTTCGCAAAATAAATTGGATGTATTGCACGCATTGTTGCTGGCATCCCCCACTCTATAAGAATGTCAGTTATTTCTGTATCGATCTGCGACATATCACAAAGGAAATATCAACAACTAATGACAGTAATTGTTGCTGATAGAAAACTTGTCATAAAACCAGCTGAAAGCAGGCGATGATTTATTTGGCAAACCTTGCTGTCGTTCTCATCAGGCATGTCTATAAAATTTTCAACATCCATGTAGTCGCTAAAATCACTAGTCACCACACTAGTTTCTCCAATAATAGGGCCATCCATTCCAATCAAAACTGTCTGCAATTAAAATGCCATTCCGATAAGAACTAAGCAGATATGCCATTCCCACTAGAATACTGGTGCATAACAGTTTACAACATTTCCAAAACTCTGATCCTTTTGGCATGGCGCTAGTGATCATTCAACATGATATGTGCTTGTGAAGACATACGCCAACATGAAAGTACTAAAGTAGAGTAATCTTACCACAGGATTGTTTGCAGCATCATCTTCCAAGATGTTCTCACTGTCGGGTACTTGAAAGAAAATGTCTGTACATAAGTACAGAACTTGTTATATGAAAATGAGGACTATGAATGCCCTACTGTAAAAATATATGCTGCACATTAAGGCATTACCTCCATAGTCATCTACAATATACTGAAAGTCTGACCAAGCAACATGCCCATGAGGTTCATTATGCACTCTTGCAGGGAACACAAGTAATCCCTTGCTATTGGCCTAGACAAGATAGAAAAGTTATCCAGAGTATGATAGGGATTCGATACACAAGGTAAGATCACCAGTTTAATTGTTTTACAACAGGAATAATTTTTTATTGCTTAACTTTTACAGTTTACAGATATTTACTCAGCCTAAGGTTGAGTGATTGAGGAATCTTGTAAGTCATTCCTATGCAAAATTATAACGATTTACATGCATCAGTAACTAAACAAATGTATAGATGCACCAGGGTACCTCTACTACAGTTCTAGCAGTTTCCACATCTGTCAGTGACAGGTCCTTCTTTTTTGGACGTTCTTTAACTTCTTCAAGAGGATGGTAACCCCGATCTCTTGTGTACTTTGAATCTGGAACAGAATCTGAGTAATCTGCAGCCACTCGAACTTTGGAAAAAGATGGTTCCTGGTCTGTTGTCAGCCAGGAAGGTTGGATTGATCCAAAAGTATTTCGGCATCGAAAACTACAATAGTTAGCTACAATAGTCAGTTTTCGAAATGCAAGGGGTCCAGTCAAATGATTCAGTTGTACAATGAGAGAGAGACCTTAAACTAGAAAAGTCATGAAATCTCCGGATGTCAAGTGGGGTTTTAATCCAGTTAAAAGTGACCCCTGCTGCCATTGATAAACTCCAGCAAAGAACGATCAAATATGTTCTGCAAAGAGAAACATAATTGACAACTAAAAATGTGCTCGACACCATACCAACCAAAAGATGATACAACACACATTGTATTTTTATCAACAAAACTAAAGAAAATGTGAGATTAGTTTCCAGCTTACAAGTAGCTTATATATCACATCATCAGACAAAGGATAATTCCTTCAGCAAAAGCAGAACCAGTACTCCTCTAACAGTAAGCCCAATTCAGTGCCCTATCTTGTCCATCGAACTATATTAGGTCCATGAACTGGAGCCGCGCATATTAGAACAGAAGTCAAAATGATGAATTCAAATCAGGGAATATTTTCTACAACAGTACATAACCCATGCGCATCTTCCTCCTCAATAATTAATAAAAAGCAATCTTCCTCTGGAATGCAAGTTGCATCAACACAAGAGGGGAACAGAGAACAAAGAGGTGGGCAATGTGGTCATGATTCATGAAGTTGTTCAGATCGATTAGGAATTGTATTCCCCCGAAATGAAAGAACCAACTTTGGAAGAACAGGACCAAAGAATAAGGAAAAAAAATCCCCTCCAACTTTGAAAATTATCCCTTGTTACTTCAAAAAAAAAATCATTTGCCTTAACCCAGTAACCCTAATTCCTGAACAAAATGCGTTCTGGAGGGCCCCAGTGGATCAAGAACACTTTGCAAAATGAATCCTTTACTGTTAACACAAAATCGCACACTATCACGAATCCATATCTATGAAATGAATATCGGAGTGATCCAACCAAATTCTCTAAGCAACACCAAAGGATGTTATTACTAGGGAAAACGGAACAGTTGTACTGATCTGAGAAAAAAAAAAGGTTTCTCCTGTTCCTCGAACAGTTGTTCAACCCCCAATAGAGAAAAATAAAGAAACCCCATCTTGATCGGTTCTTTGCCTCTGTTCTACGAGCATACAATCCAATATGAGTAAAACCATAAAAATCATGCCGATTAGCGACTACAATCAGATCAAATACGGAAAGGGGAGACGAACAGCAACAGCATCGTACCGGTAAATCCGCCCCAAGGTCGGCTGTCAAGAAGGATAGGCGAGGCGGCGGATCGCGGCCTTCGCGAGCTGCGTTGAATCCTTTCGCTGCTTTCTTCCCCTGCCTTTGCCCTTTCTTGTTCTTGTCTCTCTCTTCGTCTCTCCTCCCCCCTTTTTTTTTTGTTTCCCTTTCTTGGACTTGGCGAGCAGTGGGAGTGTGGGACAGTGTGAGGGCTTTTTGGGCAATCTGCCTCTCTCCTGCAGAATAATACAGGGTTAGTAGCAGAGCAGTTCCCAAGTTTATTGCTGTGCTGCCTTTGCCTCCAAGCTGCTGCTCAATTTTATACTGCAGATTCTTCTGCCAATTTCTAATCTTTTTATCCCCAACTTACAGTAAAATGTTCATTGGTAGTAGTGGTATACTGCTTCAGTCTTGTAGCATGAAGATTGAAGATGAATTTTGGAATATCATAGCTGCTGCTGCACTTGGATTGGAGTTGGTGGCGAGTTGGATCTCGAGGTAAATTCTGCATTTAGTGTCTGCTGGTCCCATTACTTAATTACACTGATTGATGATGATGATGATAGTGGCAGTTCTCTTCCTGCTTTAAAAATACGGATAGCTGCACTACTCCTACACCTGACCATACATGTGTATGACAAAGTTTCAGTACTACTACAGTAGCTGGGATACTCAAACTCTCTAGCAATGTCACTGCATATTACTAGTACAGTGTGTAGTACTAGTCCACATTTCATTAATTACAGTAATTAACATTGGTGATTGTACTATTGGATTATACTACAGTATATGGGGGAGTGAGATAAGCTTTGATGCTGATTAAGAAGTGTATGGATAACAAGTGATGGATTGAGCTGAGAAGAGAACAAAAAGGATGATGAGGAGATTGTATGTGTGTGTATGGCAGTTGGGGTATGGATGGAATGGAATGGTGGATGTGGCTTAGCCTCAGGCCTCCAATGGCAGGAGAAGGGAATATGTCACTCATATTCCGTTGGCATCTCAAAGTTGATCAGGGAATGGTGCTTTTCTTTCTTTTCTGGCCCTCCTGCAATGCCAGCCTCAAGCACATCATCGGCTCAGAGAAATACAAAAAGCCACCCCCAATTTTGCCATTTTCCTTCGTTTTGTGGCCACTTTTTTTGTCTAGTTGCTCGCTTTTTTGGAAAATGATGGGTGAGAATCCTGAACCTCCATATCAATTATAAAAAATAACCTGATAAATTTTAATTAGTTCTAGTTCTAAGGACATGTTAGCAGACTCGATCTCTTAAATTTTATTTCAAGAGTTGGGTTTGAAATAAAGTTATGAAGCAACCTAAAATCTACTTCATCTCTAGTTTATTTTGTGAGAGCATTACAACCAGCTCAACTCCATGAAGCTAAAACTATCTAGAGATGTATTTGATAGTGCAATAGCTAGAGGTATGTGATTTCAATCCTAAGTTTTCGTGTTTAATCTTGAACACGCTCATAATTTATTCTTAAAAAATATTTGGAGGGACGTCTCTCCTCATAAATCTCATTTTATTTTCTCCAACTCCAAAAGAGTCAGAGCTAAAGGAATTTTCTATAGTAGTGCCACCTCCGTTTCCTAATGTGTAGCATTGGTTAGTTTAAAAAAAAGGAGGGAGTAGAATGCAAAAGCAATTAATCAAATCGCCTGGCTCACGACTACAGTTGCGTCGTGTGACGTTGAAAGCTAACCGCCGAAAGGGACGTCGCGGCCCACCACGCGTGGCCCATCGGGCCCAAATGGAAGGCCCAGATAAAGGCTTGTCAGGCCCACCCAAAAACTATCCGGATCTTCTGCGGCGGCGCGACGGCAGGTCCCGCCGCCGTCGCCGCGGCCTCTGGCGATGCTTCAACCGCCACCTCCGGGAGAACGCCGCGTCCATGGCCACCGGTTGCTTCTTCGTTGTCGTCTTCGTCTTCTCCGGTATGTCCTTGGAGCCCGTTGCTTGAAGTTACTAGTTCGGCGGCTGCATTTGGGAAAAAATCGTAGGAATCGGCGATGTAGAGGTTTTCCTTCTCGTTTGTGGGAGGATCATGCTGTTTAGATACCGCGAGATCCGTGGAAGAGATGCGACGTCTGAAAAATGTTATGCCCGCTGAAGAACGTGCTGGTGTGTCTGCACTGCACTGGATCCTACTGAAATCCTGAAGCTCTGATTTAGTGATGACTAGTGATTGGTTCGTGAGTTGTTTTCTACGCTCATTTTCGATCACAGAATATAATTTCAGGGTTTTCTTTTGTTTGATTGTGGTGAAGAGGTGCATTTGGATTTATATATTGCACATATAATGTGGAACAAAAAATGGGACTAGTGCAGTATTCAGCCAAGCAACCATATTCCTCTCATATGATTGATTTTCTTATGTAATAAGTGCTCATAAGAAAAGCTTTATATGGGCTGCTAGGAACCAACAACATACATTGAATTCAGTTGAAAACTAGAGACACTGGCAATGCTTACTGGACTTATGATTACCCTGCTGAAATTAGCTCTAGGCAATGAGATATAAGCTGAAACAATACTAGTTACTGTCGTAACAATCCTAGATACTGAGATGGATGCCTGGAACTCGAATTAACCCACTGCTTCTTCTCGAGGTAGACTTCAAGTCTCCCGTTTATTCTGCAGACGCCTGATCCTGAAAGGAGATTGAGTAATATATAGATAACATGTCACTGACTTTGTGGATACAATTGCCTCGCATTCATGTAGCAAATTTAGTTATATTTCTTGAGTTTCTCCTTAAAGTCTGAAAATTCACATCACTCCTGAAAATCGTGCATTATGCCATATAAATCAGAAAGAAAACTTACACTTCAGGAGCCTCATCGCTGATGCTTATGACAGCTGATTTACTGGTGGCGGGGATTGATAGGAGTTCACAGATGGTGTTGTCGATGATATGCCAGCATGCTGCAGTGGTGGCGGAGGGCTATAGTGGACCAGAGGCTGTGGAGATGTTGCATGTGCCGGTGGAGACATCTCAAGAGGAACTTTAGGAGGTAAATATTTTGGAGTTTTCGGAAGCAATGGTGGAGAGTACTGGTAGGTTGGGGGAGAAGATCCAAAGTTGTATGGAGGTGGTGAATAATGGTTTGCTGGTGGAGAGTTGAAGTAGTAAGGAGGTATTGGTGGTGACTTGTATGGAGGTGGGGGATATTGGTGAGCTAGTGGTGGCGATACATAGCTGTTTGCAGGTGGCGAATGCTGGTATTGTGGCGGTGGGGAGTTGAAGTAGTATGGGGGTGGTAAATACTTGTTGGTTGGTGGGATCGGAGAATTGTATCCATATGGGGGTGGCGGGTGATTGTAAGATGTTGGTGGAGCTTGGTAGCTGTTTGGAGGTGTATACTGATAGGGTGGTGGTGAATGGTAGGAACTCTGCGGAGGTGATGGATACTGGTGAGATGGAGGTGGAAACTTGTTGAATGGAGGGGGTGAAAACTGATTTGGCAACGGCGGGGACTTGTAGTTGAAAGGAGGTGAGGGATACTGGTAAGGGGACGGTGGTGGTGAATTGTATGGAAAAATTGGTGGTTGAATGTGAGGTTTCGAACAAAACCCAAATGTCTTCTGTGACGCGAATGCCATTACTTGGTTGGCTTGGAGCACCACTTCCTCATTGGACTTCGAGTAAACGCTAAGCCCAGACAAGTTTAGCTCGATTGGCACGTTGCAGTCAGATCCTCCTGGTGCTGAATGGAGCTCAACCTTACATGAGTCGGCCCCATATGTGCTGCTGAGTGGTAAGCCTGTGATGCTCACGCTGTACTTGCCATTGTCTTGGGTATAGCCGAAACCCACCAGTGCCTGGTCATTAGCCTGACAAGTAACCTTGACCATTGCTCCTGCACAGACCATGATACAGAACATGAAAGGCTGTTTTGGTTTAGTGCCAAATCTTGCCCTACCAAATTTTTGGTAGTCTAAATAGTACTTGTGTGATGTTTGGATTGATGCCAAAACTTGCCAAATCAATAGAAACCTTTACCAAAATGTTGGTAGTGCCAAAACTTGCCTAAAATTTGGCACTAACAACAAATTGGTATGGTAGCAATCCAAACATGCCCGAAATGACAATGAGACGCAGAAGGGTGTATAGGGAAACCATGAGTAGTTTGCAAATTCTATCCATCTTGTAGCTTAGTCTATTATCTTTGTTGTGTTTTACTGTAATTTGTGTACAGTGCATTTTTACGACAACATGGTGTACAATTTAGATGCACACCACTAATGGTGTACAACAACATGGTATATGGTATACGACTTCTTCTTTTTTTAGATAATGGGGAGATTCTCATTAATAAGAAATAAAATTACACCCGGCCTCTGCAACAAATGACTTCTTCTATGTGATATTACTCATTCCTTCTTTTTTTCTGTTAATACCTGATGTTTAAGCGTTACAGTTAGGGAAAGTAGCAATATCAACATATTTCCACTATAAAACCATAAGCATGATTAGAACACAAGAACACGGGGATAACAAGTTTTCACCTTTCAGGTGCTCCTTCCCATGGGATTCTTCTGGGTGTGCCTCATTGAAGCATCTATAGCAGTACACCTTCCCTATCACCTTAATAACAGGAGCATACGTTGGTGTTAGGGAGAGAGAAGGTGGCGACAAGCTGGTAGCTCCCTCCGTGAGCATTGCGAAAGTTGCAATCAGCATGGCCAATACCAGCCATGGGATACCCTTTGGCTGTCCTCTCATGCTAAATTTCATTGTTTGACAATTGGCAGTGGTTTCTCAAGTGTGAGGACAGGAGAAGAGGACTGAATGGTTATGGCTCTGGTATGGAGGGATATATATAGTGTCCAAGATGCCAAAGGTTTGAGAGAGCAGGTAGAGGATGGCAAGAGAACAGTATGGCCATTTGAATATTTGTTCTTGTACTTAATCCTCTGCTTGAGTCTAGCTAGGAGAATATAATATTCTTTTTGTGATTTCAGATAACCTTTTATAGTTGGAATAATACTTTACATGGAGCAATTGCTAATTCAGAATTCAATGAGTATATCTTTAGTTGGACGTATAATGGATTCAGAATCCAAACTCTCACTGAAACAAACCTTTAAAGGTTTACATTATAGGCTGACGATCAATGTTATCAAGAGGGATGGACACTGAATTATTTGGCTAGTGTACTTCAAGTTGTTACCGTGATGTGGCAAATTGACATGAATTGCAGTTGCAAGTTTTATCCATGATGTCCATCTTTCAGTTCGTTGTTTGTTAATTCTCGAGGACTTCTGTACACATTTTTTGTGGTTATAGTGGGGCTTGGTGTGTGCCCTTGCAAAAGATGATAAACATTTTCTTTCACTTATTTTACTAACTACTGTGCATGTAAATACAAATGTGTTATCTGAGTTGTCTATAAATTTTAAGAAATATCATTTTAAGCTCTGACCAGGGTAGATCGGGGTGGTGGATGCTACAGTTTTATTTGCTGAAGTTAGCCCAATTCCAGGGCGTCCAATTGCAAGAAATATGCTATGTCAGCCCACCTTGTCAGGAACTGTTAATATTTCCTAGCCACTCTCCTCAACAACAGAAACTGAAAATCTGTAAACGGTAACAATGTGGAAGGTTTGTTGAGATGTAAATTCATCAGGCACCTAATTTTCCGTTTAATGGGGTGTTCACTGTACTGCAATTAAACCGAAGTTATTCTGGAAAACATCCACTGTGTAACATCCCTGGTAAGTTGCCTTCTGTACTCAGTTGTGAAACCTTACTGCTCAGTGCCTCTGTGGTGTTGCAGAGCCAGGCCCTGATACATAACCTTTCTTGTTTGCATATGCGCAAACAACCTTGAAGGTTTGGTATCAGTCTACTTCATCATTCATCGTTGTTTTGTTTTCTAACCAGATGTATTTCATTGTACTTATGCATAGCTGCAGAATCATACAATCCAGCTGGGAAAGTCACCTGGAATCAAATACCAGGTGAAAAGAAGTTTAACCGTCCCCAATTTTATCTTGTCAGGTGAGCAGGGGTGAATGGTCTATCTCTTTCTCTCTCTGTGCTGCCTCACTTTTATCTTGTCAATTATCATACAAGGTTTCAACTGCTCAAACTTCTTACTAACCACAACATAGCAGCTAACAAACCTCAGTGCAAGAGGTGACCTTTGGTCAAAAGCTTTGCAGGCTGCCATTGTCCCCTATCTGTACTGCTCCACAAGACAATTGAGCAGGTCTAACCAACAAATTTTGTTTGCTAGTATGCTATTTAATTTGTTTCATTCTTTTCATGTGGCACATGAATGAAATCCAGCTGAACCATTACATGATGGCTATTGGAGGCAGGAAGCTCATTTGATGAAGAAAAGCTGGAACTAATTGGCAGTTGGTGGCTGCCAAGCTTAACCACTACATGATGAAGAAACAGTATAGTTCCAGCCCAACTTCATGATATGCATAATCTTGGGCCTATCTTGCACCTTAAAGGATTCAGCCCATATACACACTAATATTGAGACATCAAGAACAGTCCAGACTGCATATACAGGAGGAAGAATGGTTCTGAAACAATATTGAGCTTTGCTTAATCTTCCTGCTTAATTTGATCAGAGGAAGACAATTAGTTCTCATCACATGAAGCATGGTCATTGCATCAACTCTAGCTACCATTGCCCCAATTTACAAGCAGGATACCTCCATTTCTACCCTTCTATATATATATGGCTGGTTAATAATAATCAGGATCCTTCTGAACCTGAACCCCAAAATGGCAGCTTGTGAAAAAAAAATCATGGCAAGAACACCAGGTTCAATTTCACAAGCCATCACCATCCTTCAGAAGAAATCCCCTCCTTTTGAGCTAAGTACTAATTGAGAAATTAAACATCATTAATGATAATAACCTGCTTAATGGTCATCTCATGAACCCTAATTTAAGTATGGCTTAATTGTGTCAGTGGTTTACCCTGCTAATTAAGCTGGCTAACCTAGTTTTTTTTTTATGTGTCGTTCCAGACGCTGAAGAGCTGTGCGCCATGGCAGACTCCGGTCATGTCGCTGCTGCTCGTGGCGGCCGGCGCCGACGCCGGCGTCATCGCCCAGGATGGCATCCTCCCGGCGCCGCCGCCGCCGTAGGCGTCTGCGCCGACGAGGTAGCTGTCGTACCCCATCTGCACCTGCTTCCCGCCGTCGCCGCCGTGATCGTGGCTGCTCGCCACCGCGGTGGCCGTGGCCGACACGGCGCTCATCGGCGCCATGATGTAGCCGCCGCCTCCGCCGCCATTGTCGCCGTTGTAGACGACGGAGTTGGAGCCGGTGCTGTGCTCGAGCGACGCGTTGTCGATGCTGCCGAGGCCGTGCTGCTGCTGCATCGCCTGCGAGAAGAAGTCATGCGCGGCGGCGGCGGCGCCGAGGTTGAGGTGGTGGAGATCCTGCAGGCTGTGCGCCGCCGCGATCACGGCGTGGTCCTGCTCCTGCTTGCACCACCCACGCAGCGGCTGCGCGTACGGGTGGTAAAGCCCGGCGGCGTGCGGCGGCGGCGCCGCCGCCGCCTGGAACGCGATGGTCGGCCAGGCGGCGGCGGCCGAGTGGTGGTGGTGGCCGTAATGCGCGGCGTAGGCGCCGTCGCCGCCGAGGTGCGAGGCGATGCGGCCGACGTCGTAGGCGGCGGCGGCCTCGGCGTCCTTGAGGCGCTTGGCGGCGGTGCCGACGGGGAGGGCAGCGCTGTCGAGGATGCTCTTGACGTCGTAGCGGCTCATGTCGAAGTTGGTGACGGCGTTGAGCCCCCGGAACTTGATCGCCGCGATGTCGTACGCCTCCGCCGCCTCCTCCTGCGTGCCTGCATGCGTGACACCACCATCATCACACACACCATTAGCGCATGCAAGCAAGATTATCATTTTGGCTAGCTAGCTAGCTTAATTGGTGATTAGTTTGTGTTGCAAAGAATGTGATTAACACTAGTTAAATTATTTACTGCAAATAATGCATTATTGTTTCTTAATTAGTGAGGATCTTGACCAGGTGCAGTGGTGAATGGAGACAGGAGTAGCACCAGACATGGAAGGTTTGAAAAGGTAGCTAGCCACATGAGGAGAGCATGCAAGCATGCACAGAGTATATATATTAGTGGTGTAATGCAACTTGACATGACTTGCAGATCACATTTTTAGTTTAATTAATTAGTTACAGGCTTAAGTAAGCTCTGTGTTCTTTGAAGAGTCACCCCTCTTTCTTACTACTACTATTTTGCCCTGAATGAATAAATTGTACTTGCCAAGAAAATATGATATTTTGTATACTCAATGAGAAAGGACATACTTATTAATATGGATTTATATGGTTTTGCAGTATAAATATGAATATTTGTACTTACTGAAGGTGCCCAAGTAGAGGTCCTTGTTCCCTGCAACTCTTCCTATCCTTGCTTGCCATCTCCCATGCTGGTGATGCCTATATTTACAAGTACACAAGATCAAATTAATGGATCTATATCACAGTCTTCATTTTTTACCCTAAAAAAATTAAAAAAATTAATTGTACAATGATGCATATATATATGTACCTAGTTACTCCACGGTAAATGGATGCACCTCTGGAGAAACCACTGCTCTTCCTGCACATATAAGGAACAGTATTTGTTAGTATCAGTAAGCATCAGATAATTAATTAACTTCAATGCGATAGATAAATTACTATAAATCTAAAAGGAAATTAATTAGTATAGTATGGATATCTTGATTGTAGAGACCAACCTTCTCAAAGAGGCTACGAACTCCTGCCTTGTCATGTGCTTCATCTCCTCCAGCTCCTTTTCATAGTTATTTACCTGAAAAATACAGAAACCATTGCCTTTAAGTACAGTTTTAGTAATCATCATTACACTAGATCAGTATCAAATAAAAGAGTGAGAAAATAACAATGTGACACAATCTGTATATTAATTATAAACACACCGGAAAATTTGTCGTCGTCGTCGGGCCCCAGTATTTGAGAGCAGCCAAATCATAAGCTCTAGCAGCTTTTTCCTCTTTGTCATAACCACCTATCAGCATTACAATTTATAAGATCATTAAACTTCAAGAAAGCAAAGATCAGCAAATAATTCAATCTACCGAATATATACATGCATCGCAAACAGAACATCTAGGTTCAAGGAATCTCACTCACCTAGATAGACTGTAGATTCAAAAGCCAAGTTCGATCAAACAGAGGAAGATCATTCGATCCCGAAATGATCATTAGAAAAAGAAACAAGATCAGTATCAATCGCCATTGGAGCATAAAAAAACAATTAATCGATTTAAATGGCACTAGTTAGCCTACCTTGACGACCCTTGCGAGTTTGGCCCTCTCTTCTGCAGCTGTTGTCCCAAAGATGAGCCTCATACCTCCCTGTCCATCTATGCCTATAACCAAACCAAAAGATATTACAACTTTGTTAATCACAACAATCATGTCCCACATAATAATGACATAATGATAAATCCTACAAATCTAATGATCAATCTATCACCTATATAGCTATCCTAGAAAATGGGATCCAAATCACAAACATCAAATAGGAATGAATTCATGCAACACAGTTAAATCATCAAAGAATATATATGATTACACTGATGATGATTTGTGCTAAGCTAGCTAGTAGATGAACTTTTTTGAGCAAAATATAGATAGATGATTAATTAATTGCACCCTAAATACCTTGTCACGCCGCGGTAGATCGATGTTCTCTGGCCGAACGTGTCGACGGACTTCCTCGCCGCCGCCGCCGCCGCGCCGGCCTCCACCACGGCGCCGCTGCCGCCTGACTCCGAGCCGACGGCAACCACGGCGCCGGCGCTGCCGCTGCCTTCCTCGTTAATCTCCTTGCGACCACCAGCCATCGTCGCCGTCGTCGCTCCGTGCGCCGACGTGGACAGGCTCTCTGACGCGGGCGTCGTCCGGCCTCGCTCCCCTGCGCCGGCGAGGAGCGCCATGGCGCCGCCGCCCTGCGCCGTCGTCGTCCCCGCCATGTTCATGGACAGAGACAGCGCCTGCGCCGGCTGCGGCGCCGGCTGGCTCCGGAGCCAGTTCTTGATCATGGACAGGCCAATGCCGCCGTTGCCACTGGCCGCCGCGGCGGCGGCGGCGCTCACCATGCCGCCGCCGCTGACGCCGTCGTGGGCGACGACGGGCGAGGAGGTGGCCACCATGACGGAGTCGGCGAACTGGAGCGAGGATGAGCTTGGAGGAGGGTACAGGTAGCCGACGCTGCTGCCGGAGCTCGCGTAGCAAGCGGCGGCGCTGCTCGGGATCACGCCGCCCTTGCCGCCGTGATGATGCTGCTGCTCCGAGAAGGAGATGCCGCCGAGGAAGTCCTCCAGCTTCGGCTCGGCGACGAGCGCCGAGAGCTCCGATCCCCTCATGCTCCAATCTGCACATCAAATCAATCAATCAAACATGCATGTCTCTTCAAATCCCAACCAACACTAGCTATATCTAGCTCATGAATGCATGCATCGATTGGTGAGCTTAATTACCTTGGGGGATGTTGAAGCAGACGTCGCCGGTGGAGGAGTCGCCGGCGGTGGTGGTGGTGGCGGCGGCGGAGATGAGAGTGGAGTTGGTCTGAGACGGCGGGAGCTGATCCTGCGGGGAGAGGGAGAAGGCCAGCCAGTTGTTCATGGTGGCCATGGTTGATGATTCACACTGAACAAGACAAGATTCAATGCGAATTAAGCTATGGTTATATGTATGATTTGCTACTTGGTTAAGCTCTGTTAGATCAAGTCGCCATTGTTGTGGTGAGCTCAAGGTTAGGGGAAGCTTAAGCTAAGCTAACTGAGAAGAAGAAGAAGAGGTCAAGAGAGGTTTGGAGCACTAAGCAACAGTATCACTGGTAGATATTTATATAAGATAGATATGCATGATGCTAATTGCTAAGTTAGTAGTACTACTACTAATGGAAGTACTCCCTTATGTAGGAGAAGGCAGCAAGGAGGTCTAGCTTTTGTGCACTTTTGTTTTTTTTTAAAAAAAATATGAATTTGTAACCTGTGTGTGCATGCAATACAAAAACATTGGGCATGGTTTAACTGAACAGAAACCACTTTCTGCTTCTGCTTTCTGGGGGGTGAGTCCACCATATTTTGTCTCATTTTCCTGTGAATATTTAAGCCTGTCTATATGCATGAAACCTACATGATCTCAATACTACTAGTAGTATACTACTACAATACAGTGTATGCAGTAGCTTTGTATATAAAGCAATGGCCTTGGGCTCGATAATAGTATAAAATATCATCTTCTTTTTTCACTGCCCTTTGACTGAAAAGTTGGTAGTAGTAGTAAGAGAGGGATAAATAATATAATCAAGGTTGCAAAAAAGAAATGAGAGCAAGATCTAAGAGTCATTCTATTTGTCCAGGATCTCAATTCATGGGCAGATGTTCCTGTATCTCTCTCTTTTTCAAATGCAGGAATGCACATGCAAACTGCACGGTTGGGTTTTCCTTGGCCATACATGCATGCAGTTGACATATGCGTGTATATGCATCCAAACTATATAGTGCCAAAACAAAGTTCTTCAAGACTGGTGAATTTATATAATTAATCAGCATATATGAATAGAGTGAAGATAGGCTTGGTTTGGCCTGGACCTGATCTCCTCAAACCCTAAAACCACTCACACAGCTCAATCACCTGCAGAAGCTGAATCCCTGACAAGGTTGTTTACATGCCCCAAGGCACACCTCTCCTTCCTCCCTCTGACACAGACACACATTTAGAGCAAGTACTATAATAAGGCCCTAGATAGCTCTTTGGTTAATTTGCTCTGGAAACATAGAGAGATCAAAGAGAGGAATCGTACTTATTTTTTTTTAACGGAGCGCAAAAGACTCGCCGGATATATTAGAAGGAATAAAATTCAAAAACATAACCTTCTCTAAAAAAAGAAGAGGATAAGAAAAAACAACAGCAGCATGAAGGGGTGTATTTGGTTGTCAGCCACACATTACCACAACTAAGATTATGCACGTTGCAGCAGTCACAAAAGTGTGGTAGCTAGACAAATTACTAGTCACAAAGTGTGATAAAGTTGATAAGAAAATATTTGAGCTATGGTATATGGACATTCTATTGAACTAAACACATGGCTAACAAATTGTGACAACTAAAAGTGTGGTGTGGCAAAATACAGTCGTGAATCAAACACCCCCATAGTATGTGTTCCTTGTTGCTTTATTAAGTATAATACAAGAGTTTCCACAAGGTTATAATCCAAACGATCATATGTATACACGTCTTTCAACATCAGAATTTAGGATCTGTTTTTACTGAATATCAAGAAGAGTAGATTTAAATGGAGAGAAAAAAAAGACTCATAAACGTCTTGTATTTTTTTTCCTACTACTATAGTATATGCCATGATGCTGCCTGCCCACCACAGCCATTTTCAGTTGACCATTAGAAATGTAATCTGAGAATATATCATGCAGTGTACGTAAAGCAAACAATAACATCATAGAAGATCATTTTGCTGGAGAAAATATACGGAACTCTTTTGGTTTGAAACACCAAAGAAGATCAAGGACAGGCAAGCAGAAAACCTGAAAACAAATTAAAACGGCTAGTAGCTGCTAGTATAGCTCTGTCAAATATTCATGTATTCATATACGGAATTGCAGTAGAGGATGATGTGCTACCTGCACCCTAGAAGAGGACACGAACCCTTGTCTTCCGGCCATTGAAAAAGCTTAATTTTCCTTCTTTCTCTCTCTAAAACGCATGGAGAAGCGAGCGAAACCCTAAAAACCTCGCATAGGATCCTCCATGACAAATTGTTAACAAGAACACACACAACAGTAATCTCTCTCTGGTGATATCTGTAGCTTTATGGGGGGAAGGAGAAGTGGAGGTTAAGATAGGGGGAGAGTGTGTGTTTTTATCTTGGTAATTGCACCCCTTGCCTCCCTCCCATCCGCCTAAAACTTTGACCGTCAAAGCTAACCCCTCTCTCTCTCTCTCTCTCTGATTAAGCAAATGCAGGGGCTCTGTTCAAACTGAACTAAGCTAGCTAGGTGTCTCTTTTTTTTTACAGTTCAGTTTCACACTGATGCAGAGTGTGATTAGGCTGATTAATTACTACTTTTACTGCATGCATGGCCGGTCAGTAAATTAACCCCCCATGGGTAGTACAGTATTTATGAATACGTCTAATCATAAGTTGAGGAGACTGGCCGGCTGGCCGGAACAGAGAAAAGGGCAGTTAACAGTTAATCTCGACCGTCAGAATTCAGAAGTTTGATGATCTCAGCCGTCAGAAGTTATACCGTACGTAGTCTACACTGCGCAACAAGTGTGTGGTGTACTTCAACCATTGTACATCTGCTACAACATCAACGAGAACACTGAAAACAACCTTGTATATATATAGTTGTGCTATATATATTTACGTGGAAACATATCTTATGCATACAAACTTCTCGTATTTACTCGGTGTATATTAGCTAAGAAATTTTAGGAAAAAATCTAGGAAAATTGAACAATAGTACTACACAAATATGCAAAGTTTCATATTCAAATTCTTTATATTTTAACAGTAACAAAAAAATAAAAAAAACTGACATGCTTAAAAGTAAAAAATGTCAGAATTTTATTTTTTTACGACTAGTATATAATGAAAGGTGCATGACAAAAAAAATCTGAAAGTATGTGTTTCAACTTTTTATATAATTTTCCGTGACATTTTATAATTGGTGTGTATGAGAAGTTTGTGTGCATAAGATACATTCCTCGATCATTTAAATATATATAGTACTATCTTGGTCAAGGAATTATATAATGTCAATTAAGCTTGCATATGACCAATCACTAAGTGCTGATGAAAAAAAAACTAAAACGATATTATACTTATTTAATTTGTTGTGCATACTACAGCTAGATGCACTGATCGGTTCAATTATGCTTTTGGTTGGAGTGTGTGTGTGTGTGTGTATATATATATATCAACTTGACAAGAATATATAAACCCAGTGGCAGTCTTGAAATTAGCTTAGCTTGACCATATACGTGTTATGGCAAATATAATAGAGTATGCATTTTTATTTCGCTTCTGAGATATACGTACGTGTACAACTACTGGACTCCGTCTGAACCAATTTGTCCATGGTCTTGGGTCTTGACTGATAAAAGAAAAAACTATATACATATATAAATACACAATTGAATTACTTTTTGAAAGGATATATTTAAGTTAGAAATCTTGTACTCCCTCCGTTTCAGGTTATAAGACGTTTTGACTTTGGTCAAAGTTACACTGCTTTAAGTTTGATCAAGTTTGTCGAAAAAAGTAATAACATTTTTAACCCAAAACAAATTTATTATGAAAATATATTTAATTATTGATTTGATAAAACTAATTTAGTATTATAAATATTATTATATCTGTTTATAAACTTAGTCAAATTTGAAATAGTTTGACTTTGACCAAAATTAAAATGTCTTATAACTTAAAACGGAGGGAGTAACAGATACTAGGTATATTCGTTTGTCTGTAGGGTTTAAAAATATCTGCTCCATCATTGTATAAATATAGATACATACAAGTATAGCTAGGCACACACTGTATACATTTGACAAACAAACAAGCTAATACTAGATTGATCACCTCTGCATGCATTTGACAGTGAACTATGGATTAAGCAATGTATAGAGCAGTAGAGAGTTGTAGATAACACATGCAAAAATGATAGAGAAATCGAGAGGGCATGCAGGGGTTAATATTTTGTCAGGCTTCTCACGTGCACACGGCGATCATGCATATGCATCATCGACCGGCCAATATAATCTTCTCTTGGAACGATAAAAAAGAGCATGTGCAATGGCAAGCTTAGTCCATTGTCATGTGCTCGCATGCTTTTCTTCTACTCAATACCCACAATGGTAAAGTAAGGTGCTATCTATAAAACATGTACATCTCAGCAATAGACTCGATTAATAGTAAACCAACTTAATAGTATGTCTACATTGGTATCTATAGCTCTCTCATGCATTGCCTCGTTTTTCTCTATAGACTATCTCTAAGTTAGTAGATAGCTTTGCTCTCTCTCTTCATTTAATACATTCCAAGTAGAAAAATATGCTGACATAGATCTCTTGTAGAGAGCCTATAGATAACTATTGTGGGTGCCCTTAGCATGGGCACGTACCCACACGTGTGCGTGCATACGCCCAAGAGTCTTCGATTGATGCACTTGCATTAATTCATGAGCAATAATCTCTCTGCTGTTCTTTTCCATTTGCCGTTTAGCACATTGACATGATTCTAAACATGTTTTTTTTAACGAACAACACCATACGGTACATATATAAGGTGAGAAGTTTTTATTGATATAGTATGAAAATAATTTTACAAAACTCAAGCCTTGGGAGGCTATAAGGGCAGTCCCAACCCTTCACCTAGATGGTGTCTATGGAATTAACTACATTGTCATGTAGGACTTTTAACTTATGTGGCACTATATTAATTAAGAGAGAGAGTGAAGAGAGGAAAAAAATTAAGTCTCATGCAAGACACAGCTTCAACACGAGAACCTATGTACTAGACACTATCAAGTTTTGCATTGGGAAAGACTAGTGTATTCATAATAGATGAAGAATAAATATGATTGGTAGAGAAGAAATATGATGCGTTTATTAATGGCCCACTTTAAGAAATCATGTGTTGTGGAGTGTAGTTTATATTGTGATGTCTTATTGACATGGCACCATAGACACTGCTTATGGATACTATGGGTTGAGACTGCCCTAATCAGGAAAATGAAAGAAGACAAAGGAAAAACTCAACGCTGACAACATCACCGCACAAAACACTGAGGAAGGAAACTAACACTGAGCCGGCCGCTGTGTGAGACTGATAGCCGGCTCGCCGCTATGCCAACGACAGAGCTACACCGCTCAACGATGATAAAGCCAAACCACGGAAAGGGCGCTAGGGCTTCCATATGACATCCCTACTTTGGATTGCAAAGGGAGAGGCGAGAGAAAAGAAAGAGATCATCTTTGGTCAATCATCTGCGTTTTCCCTTTATGAATATGATTTCTCAAAAAAAATATACTTAATTAGT